TGTTATAATTCAGTGGTATTAATTATATTCACAATGTTGTGCAACCATTGTTGCTATTTCCAAAACCCTTTCATCATCCCAAACAGAATCTTTGTACCCATTAAACAATAACTTCCCCCATTCCTCCCCCACCAATCCCTAGTAACTGCTAATCTACTTTCTGTCTCTGTGATTTACCCATGCTACTTATTATACGTAAGTGGAATCATACAATATTTGTCCTTTTGTGTCTGGTTTATTTCACTTAGCATGTTTTAAGGATTTAACCATGTATCAGAAATGTCATTTTTTTCCATGACAGCCTACCATTGAATGTCATTCTTTTTTATATATGTATATATGTATGTATATACATTTAGTTTATCCATTTATGTGTTGATGGATACTTAGGTTGTTTCTATCTTTTGCCTATTATGAATAATGTTTACATTGGTGTACAAGTATCTGAGTGTCCCTGTTTTCATTTCTTTTGAGTATATACCAGAGAGTGGAATTTCTGGGTCATATGGTAATTCTATGTTAAACTTTTTGAGGAAGCACCAGACTGTTTTCCACAGTGGCTGCAACATTTGACATTCGCACTAGCAATGTAGGAGAGTTCCGATTTCTCTATATCCTTACCAACATTTGTTATTTTCTGGAGGTGGGGAGTTTTTGTACTTGCTTTTTCTTTTTAATTATAGCCATCCTATTAGGTAGGAAATGATATCTCATTCTGGTTTTGATTTGCATTTCCCTAATGATTAATGATGTTGAGCATCTTTTTATGTGCTTAGTGGCCATTTGTATATTTTCTTTGGAGAAATGTCTATTCAAATCCTCTGCCCATTGTTTAATTGGGTTGTCTTTTGTTGTTGAGTTGTAGAGTTCTTTATATATTCTGAATTGTAAACCCTTATCAGTTAAAAGTTATACCAGTTTATAGTCCCTCCATAATACAAGACAGTGAGTTTTCCCCAAGCACTTCCCAATGCTGGTTATGATCACTTTAAACTTTGTTAAGGTATTAGGTAAAAAATGATGATTTGTTTTTATTTGTAATTTGTTAAATATTAGTGAGATTCCATATTTTCTGTATATTTTTGGCTTTTTGTGTTTCATCTTTCATGAAATGCATGGTTAATATCCTTTTGCCCAGTGTTCTTTTTTCCTAGTGATTTGTAAAGTTCTTAATATAGGTATGTTAACTCCATATTATATGATACAGGTATATTTTCCCATAACTTCATTTATGGTCATCCTCGAATCTTAAGCTATCTATATAGTTCAGCTCTGCAAAATAAAGTTACCTTATAGCCTGAACAGAAATAGAAACAAGTTCCTGAATGCCTTGTAGGCATACTAACAAAATCTGCAGCTCAAATCACCTAACAGTTAGACCTCTCCAAGCTATGAGTAGGATTCAGAATATTTAATTCACAGATCAAATCCTGATTTGAAGTTTGTTGTGCAGGCAACCCCAGTTTCCAAGGAAATTTGTCTCAGTTTCATGTCCATGAGACTCTTATGGCTTCTTCAAGAAGCAAAATCCTGGTAATGAGGGGTTTTGAGGGATGTGAATCATTTCTCATCACTCCTATGCCTACCTTAGGACTCCTAGAAGTCTGGTGCCAGGTGAGGAACAGGTTAATTCAGGTTAACTAAAATGCTTTCCCATACTCCAGCAGACCTCAGCTGGCCCTGCATAGGACTCTGGATTCAGTTGCTTGTCTTTTATGATAATTGGGTAGATAGGGAAATTGTGCTCTTGAAAGTATTCATTAAAATGTAATCTTTCTCTGTCTGGGGTTAATATGAAATAGTTAGTATATTTAGAAGGCAAATATTTCCAGCTTCTATCCTGGCAAAGGTTTAAATGTCTATGTGAAAGGAGAGAGAATGGAAGTATCTGGTGTACCATTTTTAAAGGGAATAGTATATGCCAAGAGAAGGGACAGGGAGTGCTGAATGCTGAGGTCAGAGCTGCCCTTTCCTCGGTGCTTTCCCTTGGCCCAAGGCTGCTGGGACCTACCTTGATGAAAGAGTACAGAGACTTTCCATAGAGCCTCTTGAACTGTGCCCGGATGTCCATCATGTCAATCTCTGCTCGAGAAACCATCACGCGGATGAGGGTGTTATCATCCGTGCCCAAACCCTAAGGAAGAAAACAAGATCCCGCATACATGAAAAACTAGCTGGTTTTCAGGGAGTATTTTCTTCAGTCTATCAAGGCAAGACTAGGGATGACTCTTCCTGATAGTATCCTTTGTTCCACAACATTGGAGGCCCGAGGAATAGCCTTGCTCCTTGCCATGGTAGTCAAGGCTCTCCACAGCTAACTTTTCCAACACTCTATATTCTGACCAGAGGACACTTCCCTCTGCCTTTCTTGAGAGCCACTCTGTTTTGTCCAGCCTGCCTGCCTCATCCATGATTCCCTGGAATGTCGTCCTTCCCTTGTCAGCCTTACCATCCTCTCCCTTACCATGTAAAATCCTCTGATGTAAAACTTCCTTGAAGGTCCTGCTCAAATATACTAACTTCTTCATATATTCTTTACAGAGCCTCCCCCGCCCCCCCAAAAAAATTGGAAAAAAAATATCCTTTCCTCTCTGTTCTTATAATATTTGGATCCTCAACTGCTGTCTTACATTCTATCATGTTATTATTAGTGTTTTGCACATACTTACTTTCCCCATAAGGCTAGACGTTCTTTGAAAGGACTACATTTTGGTCTTTCCTGTACCTCTCATGATCCCATCATGGGTGCTTGCACAGAATGCAGTGCAGGGTTACGAGTATGGGCTCTGGAGCCAGACTCTGCCAGCGTTTGCATCCTTGCTCCATCTCGTCCTCACTGAGGACCTTGAGCAAACTGCGTAGCCTCTCTATGCCCAAGTTTCTTCATCTGTAAAATGGGAGTTAATAATAGTACTTGCCCCATAGAGCTGTTGTGGGGATAAAATTAATCTATGCATATAGGGCATTAGGAACAGTGATCCACACATCCTAAGTTGTCAATAAATATCACCTAGCATTGTTATTAGCAGGCACTCAGTGAAGTATCTGATGAATTGCATTGGATATTTCAGTGAAATTTGATGGGGGGTGTATAAGTAAGCCTTAGAAGGTGAATATAATATATGCCAAAGTCATTCAGATGCTAAAAATGAAGCCATTTACCTTCATTGATTTATAAAGCCTTTCAGCAAAATATGCATGTTTGTTCCTCATACACTTTACTGTAGAGAAAAAAAAGAAATGAAAAGATTACAGATAAGACTTGTGAGAAAAGAAAAGTGACAGCTGTTCCCTCACTTTCTACAGGATACCAAGTAATATTGCTTGGCTGGAGAAATTTTAGCTAAACAACATTTTATGAATATGCATTTTCACAGATAGAAAGTTCCCTCAATTTATCATCAAGTTCCTGGAAAAGTAATTAATAAAGGTCATCAAAAAATAGGGTAGCATATAGTTTCAAAATGATGATTACTATCTCTACCATATGACAGTTATGAATTCTAACCATTCACAGACTTGCAAGGTGCAGCTAGTACAGTATTATCTTTCCCATATAATGAGATATAAGGGCACATAAGATATTAAATATATAAACTGCATGATGGCACAATAGCAATCAGGTTGTATATAATATTTCTTGTTTAGAATTCTGGAATGCACCATGAGTGATTTAAATAACTTTTATCTCTGAAAAAAAATTCTGTATCTCCATGCCAACAAATTTATAACAAGGAGAAAAGTCTATAGA